TTTTTTAATTTTTTTTTTCAACGTTTTTTATTTATTTTTGGGACAGAGAGAGACAGAGCATGAACGGGGGAGGGGCAGAGAGAGAGGGAGACACAGAATCGGAAACAGGCTCCAGGCTCTGAGCCATCAGCCCAGAGCCCGACGCGGGGCTCGAACTCACGGACCGCGAGATCGTGACCTGGCTGAAGTCGGACGCTTAACCGACTGCGCCACCCAGGCGCCCCTGGACCCAGACCCTTTAAATACAAATTTAGTTTCAATTTATAGGATATTACGGAACATCCCAGCACATCTTAATTTCACCATTGTGGATGTGCCACTATAAGTGGATAGTAAATTTAACTAATGGAGTTAAATATCCTCATTCTGCTGAACAGAGCTGGGGTCCCTGGCAGTGTGCTCATTAATTTTTTTTTAAGTTTATTTATTTTGAGAGAGAAAACCAGGCAGTGGGGGAGGAGGGAGGCAGAGGGAGAGGGAGACCGAGGATCTGAAGCAGGTTCTGTGCTGTCAGCAGCAAGCCCGATGCGGAGCTCGAACCCACGGACCTCGAGGTCATGACCTGAGCCCCCCAGGTCCCCCAGGATGCTCATTAATTTGACATTAATTTGACCTACTGGTTGTGCTCCATTGAGGGGCCGACAGGCCTTTGCTCTGGGATACCTGTGCTGTACCTGCCAGGGCAGCGCTCACGAGGTCCCCGAGCGGGCAGATGTGTAAAACAGCTTCTACATCACAGCGCCACCTCAGCAGACGTAACTTTATTACATAGAAAACAAATGGACATTTTCTTTCTCGTAAAGAATTTTCTTCTGCATACACAGTGCTTGTAACTCGAGATGCTCAGATTAGGGGCAGGAGTGAAGAGGTGTCGGATCACAGACTCGGGGACAGATATCACCCAAGCGACTCCCCCGGGGGGCTGGTGTGGACCCTCAGTGAGGACGTGTTTTCAGCACTTACCTCCTACAAGTTCCTGTTCAACTGTTGTCACTACTAAATGCAATGAAGCAAAGTCCTTTTTCTCTGTTCCCTGGACGGCACGAGGGCCCTGCAGCCACCTCCCACCCCAGTCAGGCTCTTCTGCCTCGGCCTCCCCAGGGGTCATGGGAGTGGGGGGAGTGGGGAGCGTTGAATCAGAAGAGGGGCCGAGGACAAGCCGGACCTCGATGTCCTCTGAGGTCTACATTTTAAAGAAGAATGTCTATTTTCATCTGGGGAATAGTAAGCACGTAGCTTGAAATGCCAGAAGCTACCGGAAGGCCCGGGCCAAGCACTGCTGGCCCGGCCTCAGCCCTCTGCCCCTTCAGCCAAGACCAGCACCTTCTCCTTTCTGGTGATTCCCCTCCGTGTGTCTAAATTACGTCTCTCTCTCCGCTTTCTTGATTTATTCGCAGTAGATGGTATCCATGGGCTATTTCCTTGTGAGACACGGGACAGGGCTCGCACGCCTCCCCCCTCCCCCCTCACTAGTGTCCGTATGTCACAAGTGTTCAGTCAGAATTTAATGCTCACGTTGAAGGATAGATGCCGCTCACTGCTGAGTCTGGTGACGCGCTAGGATGACATGGACTTTGCCGGCAGCTTTCATTTTCCCTAGAACTGCCTTGGGTTTTTTCATTTGCTTGGTGGCTTTTTTTTTTTTTTTTT